GAGAATCATGTAGAGATTCAAAAGACTTCAAGTTTGACCAGATAGTTAAGAAAGTGAGTCTGATTACTTTGGAAAGAATTGTCTCAAGAGAGCATAGCTGTGCTAGAGTCTAAGTTTTATGTCTAGTAATTTCAGTTTTTCCCTGCAGTAGTAGAGACTGAACCCAGAAGGGTTTTGTGCATGCTAGGCAGGTGCCCCGCCTCTGAGCTATATTCCCAGCCCTAGTAGTAATTTTAGCATATTTTAGATTGCTATTACTACTTTGTTAGTTACCATGGTTCGGGCCGTTGTTCAGAATGTGAAATACTGATGTGAGTATTACCAGGAACTGTCTCTCATGTAAATACTAGTTTACTTGTTCAGTTTTGTGTGTGGATTGCAAATGTTTTAACACAAAAAATTAATGTTGATGTTGCAGAAAGTTGAAGAAAATTGGAGTCTGATAATAAATACTGAGTTTTTTACTGTTTAATTTTAATTATTCTATATTATAACTTAACCCTACTTACTATGTAATTTTATAATTAAAGATAAATCACAGATTGTTCAAATGGTTAAAAAAAATTTTCTGTACCTTACATTTTAATATCCTGGGCAAGCATAATGGTGTGTAGCTATAGTCCGAGCTACTTGGGAGGCTAAGGTGGGAGAATCACTTGAGCCCAAGAGTTCAAGGTCAGCCTGGACAACATAACAATACCAAGCTCAAAGAAATTTTTTTATAACAAGGTTGTTTAAATAATAAAGTTTTAGAGTTGGAAAAACGTGATGATGACCATATCAGTGTTTCATTAAGTTACTTTTTTTAATACAGGTGTTATATTTCCATAAAGATACATATCATGCCTTTCGTTTTTATGAGAAAAAAGACAAATAAAAATTTGGAATCTAAAGTTGTTAGTCCACTTTCTACAGTTTTATTAGTGTCCAGTTTTCAGTTAGACTACTATTTGATAACCTTGAGGTTATAAAAATTATGATTGGCTATTAAATCCACTGTAGGATTCAAATTGCCCTCAACCATCTAATGCCGTTACTTCCTAAAAAGAAGGTAGGAAGGCTTTGTGTTTCTAAAATGGAATTCTTACATTGGATTCTAATAAGGAGGTTTTATTTCAGGTCTTTGTAGGTAAAATACCAAGAGATTTATATGAGGATGAATTGGTGCCCCTTTTTGAGAAGGCTGGTCCCATTTGGGATTTACGTCTCATGATGGATCCACTGTCTGGTCAGAACAGAGGGTATGCATTCATCACCTTCTGTGGAAAGGAAGCTGCCCAGGAAGCTGTTAAACTGGTATGTGATAAGCAAATACTTCTGTCCAGCAAGTTACTGCTTCAGAGAATAAATCTCAATTCAAAAATTAATCGCAATTAGCATTGTTTGGTCTTCTTTAGTTACTTACTTGAATGTTTTTGTATTTACTGAGTTGATATATGACCTTTACTTTATATTTTTTCTGACTATAAAATGATGTATAAAGTTTCCGTAATTTTAAGGTAATTAAATTAATCTAGTAGGTTACGATCAAAAGATTCATTAAAGTATTTAGCTTTAGCAGTTTTTTTCCTTTGGTTTTAGAAAAAAGCAATGTAAACTTCAATGCAGTTGAACTTTAGGATTGATAAAAATATAATGAAGGCTGAAGTGGTTCTGCAGAACATAACTGGATGATCAGTTTTTAGGACTCAGTATAGGAAATGGTTGTGAATCTGTTTTATTTTTGTTATAACCTGAATGTACAATTTGTTTTATTTTCTAATTCTTTTTGTTTCCAAGCTACTGAGTCCTTTGGTCTTTAATCTTTCTCTCCTTTCCTACAATTTAATAGCCTGCCCTCTGGTAATTTCCTTTCTCCAGAGCTTTTTGCTATTTTGTGCTTATTAGAGCAGCAGTCATAACAGAGTTCGGTAGATTATATCTTTACTCCTGCTGTATTGAAGATAACAACCATCTCAGTGTGTTCAAGTAACAGTGACACTTTTTTTGTGTGCGTATTCTTGCTAACATCTAAGGGCTTATGTAATGTATAACACTTCTTTTCCTTCCAGAACAGTAACCTCATATCAAGACTTTTTGGTTATATAAATACTAGTTTCTATTACGAATTTTCCCTTCAAACTTGTAATAAGAACTTTTCAAAGCCTTATTTTCTCTTTCTCTTTTTTTTTTTTTTTTTTTTTTTTTTTT